ATATATATATATATATATATATATATATATATATATATATATATATATATATATATATATATATATATATATATATATATATATATATATATATATGGATTCTTCTTTTTCTTTTATTCAGGAACATTTCTTGTGTTTAGAAGAGGTAACCGCTAATGCCCGTCAGTTGTTTTCCTCCCCTGATCCAACTCTCTTGCCCAAGACCCCTCTGGGCAAAAAGAAATCTCGACTGAAGAAACCTCATCACTCATCAATTGCAGGCGAGATTTTTTATGGGAATCCTTGGGAATTGTCTCAGGTTTTTAATAAATTATGGTTTATTTAATTTACATTTATACAATTCAAAAACTGATACAGTAGGTTCAGTGAAAAAAATATTCAAGATAGAAAGTACAGTACTGTACAGTAGAACCTTGTTATTTCCAACTCGGCTAATACAGATTTTGCCTAATTCAAACTTTTCTCAAGCATGAACAGATAATTTCTACTTTGAACCAATTGCTCATCAGATATCTCTCGCCCACAAGGCTTATCGTGGGTGTATAAGACGGCCCCCAAAATTTCCATTTAAAAAGTAGCTTTTGAGCCCTATTCGCTGTATAAGACCGGTAACCCAAATGTGACACTTACCATTGGGAGCTTACTGACCCAGTAGTCCTTTACCAACCATCCCATTGACCAGTGCTGTTTACACATCCTTGGTTTTTTAAAATAAAGCCAATTCACTTCAAGTAATGGCATCAAACGTTACCGGTTGATGTAGTGTAAACACTAGTGACTCACTTAAAAGTTTGTTATTTAACTTGAACTAATGTCGGTGTCGAATACAATTGTTTCATTTACTTAAAATGGATTTACCGATTTATTTGTTTATTTATATCATACTGTAATATATTAAACACACTGGAAGTATTTTCTTTAATTTATAAGCTTGCTTCAGCGAGCTACAGTATTCTAATTCAATAGTGTTTCATTAGGATTTGAGTGAAAAAGATTACTGTACATACTTAATACATACATTTATTACACAAATATATATATATATATATATATATATATATATATATATATATATATATATATATATACACCTAGACCCCGACTTACGACTATATGGACTTACGTCCATTGGTACTTACGACCTGCTTTGACCGTACGTCCATACGGGACATACGACTGCGACCGTCGTGACCAAAATTTTTTTCAAATGACGCGCGCATTTTCTATACCGAAACGTTTCCGTCCCGGGCGAAAGGGAGGGGTGGCTTGGGTCGCCTCGTGGCTACACTCACTCAGTGGAGCGCTTTGTTTGTGTTTGGCTATCGTATCCTATACTGATCGCGCTGTGAACTTTCGTTATTATTGTATTTAATTGACTTTATAATGACTGGAAAGCGTAAAAGTGAGAGTGCTGGTGGTGCTCCAAGGAAAAGGAGACAGGCAATTACTTTTGAGATGAAACTGAAGATAATAACACAGTATGAGAATGGAAAAACAGTAGCAACAATCTCACGCGACCTAGGTTTCTCACACTCGACTATATCCACTATTCTGAAGGACAAGGAACGTATTCGTGAAGTAGTGAAAGGAACAACACCTATAAAGGGAACTATAATAACAAAGAAAAGACAAGGTCCTATCCACGATATGGAAAAATTATTGGTGATATGGATAGAAGACCAGATACAGAAGCGTGTACCCTTAAGTGTTCTAACCATACAGGCTAAAGCAAGAAGCCTGTTCCAAAGCCTGAAGGAGCAGGCAGGAGATGAATGTGATCAAACCTTTACAGGAAGTCAAGGGTGGTTTGATAGATTTAAAAAACGCTACAGTCTACACAGTGTTAAGGTGAGTGGAGAGGCAGCTAGTGCCGATGTTGGTGCTGCCGAAGCTTTTAAGGAGGAGTTAGATGATGTGATTGTGGAAGGGAATTATTTGCCAGAGCAAATATTCAATGTGGATGAGACTGGATTATTGTGGAAACGCATGCCTGACCGGACATACATCCACAAAGAGGCAAAAAAAATGCCCGGATTCAAGGCATTCAAGGACAGAATTACACTTCTGTTGGGGGGGAATGTTGCTGGTTTCAAGCTAAAGCCCTTCATGATCTATCATTCAGAGAACCCCAGGGCTTTTAAACATGTCAGCAAGCACACACTGCCAGTGTTTTATCGCAGTAACAAGAAAGCCTGGATGACCCTAGTACTATTTGAGGATTGGTTCATGACTTGTTTCATTCCACGAGCCAAGGAGTATTGTCTGCAACAAAGGATTCCATTCAAGATTTTACTGATTTTGGATAATGCTCCGGGACACCCACCACACCTGGACGACATGCACCCTGATGTTAAGGTAGTGTACATGCCACCTAACACTACCTCTATCATCCAACCCATGGATCAAGGTGCTATTTCTGCCTTTAAAGCATATTATTTACGCACGACCTTCGCTCAGGCTGTTGCTGCTACTGAAGGTGAGAAAACGCTCAGACAGTTTTGGAAGGAGTACAACATTTTGTCATGTATAAAGAACATTAGTGCAGCATGGGATCAGGTTACAAAACATTGCATGAATGGAATATGGAAGAAAATCCTGAAAAGATATGTGAACAGTTTCAAAGGATTTAATGAAAGTGAAGTTATTTTGGATATTAGTAACAAGATAGTGGACTTAGATAAACAGCTGGAGTTAGAAATTGATACTGAAGATGTTGGACAGTTGGTTGAAAGTGTAGCAGAAGAGCTCAGTAACGAGGATCTTATTGAACTAGATGCACAGAAAGTTGCAGAGGAAGAAGAGAGACAAAATGTAGAAGAAGAGCCTGCACCCCCCAAAAAGTTTTCAGTGAAACATATGGCAGAGGCATTTGCTACAATTAATAAAGGAATGCAAATGTTTGATGGCATGGATCAAAATTATGAGCGTTATGCCAAAGTTGACAGAATGATCCAAGATTCACTTGCTTGCTACAGAGAAATTTATAATGAAAAGAAAAAGAAAACTGTGCAGTCTAAATTGGACACCTATTTCAAGAAGTCCCCCAGTACTGGCTCCTCACGCCCCACCAGTGCTGCCTCTTCACTCCCTCAAGATGATCCAATACCTTCAACCAGCAAGTTACCACAGTACATAAACCTGTCTGAAGGAAGCGACATTGATGACCCACCCAGCCCTGTCTCCTCTTCTGCTTCTTCCAATTAATATAGTCTCCATGTATCCTGTAAATAGAAAATTATGGGGGCCCTGTGTGCATTCAGCTGACTACATTTAAGGTAAGTGCTCAGTCACACTGTATCCATTCCTCATTATTTATTACTTTTACTGTACTGTATCCATTCCTCATTATTTTTTACGTTTAGTGTACTGTATTTCATTGTAGATTTTTAAAAAAAATTTGAAAAAAAAAAATTTTTGAATTTTTTTTTTTTTGAAAAATTTTATTTTGAATTTTTTTGAATTTTTTATCTATATCGGACTTACGACCACATCGGACTTACGACCTGGATTTGGGTCCCTAACCCCGTCGTAAGTCGGGGTTTAGGTGTGTGTATATATATATATATATATATATATATATATATATATATATATATATATATATATATATATATATATATATATATATATATATATATATATATATATTCACAATATTTTATAATTGCAGTCATGTACTGAATATTCTATGTAAAAAATATAAATTTTAAATGAATTATTTCTAGTGTGGTCGACTTCCTACACAAAGACGGGCTATAAATAGCCGTCTTATCTCCCCTCTGTTCTGAGAGAGAAGGTCTTGGTAAATAACTTTTGTTTGTTTATTTTCATTGTTTGTCAAATTTATCATGTTGTATCAAAGTAATATTACTAAAAGTTTTAGGCAGCTACCAAACAGGGAGATTCTACTGCCTGGGAAGATATTGGAAGCATAATGTACAGTATTGTCTAATGGTAGACCCTACTTCCATATGGCATCACGAAAATTGTGACCAAGTCTTAGGTTGCTGATTTATCTTACTGCCTCATTTACACACAATTAATGAGTTTCAATTGTTTCTCTTCCTTTGACAACACAACATACATACAATATAATGTTTCACCTTTGATCTTTTTTCCATTTATTTATGGTTGGTTATTTAAAATAATGCCAATTCACTTCAAGTATTGGCATCAAATTTTACCCGCTGTTGTACACTAGTGACTCACTTAAGCGTCAGTTATTTAACTGGAACTAATGTTGGTGTGAGTAAAATATTTCCATTTACTTGAAATAGATTTGCCGATTTATTTGTTTATTTATTTAGCTATAATATATTGTAATACATTAAACACACTGCAAGTATTTTTTTTAATTATATACTTGTTTCGCGAAAAAGGGAGGCTACCATTATACCTGGTAGGTGAAGTTGACCAGACATTTATGATCATTAAGGACCAAACTCCGAATCCATGACGTGACTTCTGTTAATCATTCTCATCCTAAATTTACCACTGTCGGTAGTTTCAAGAATTAACGCAGTCATTTACTGAATATTCTTTGTAAAAAAATTAATTTTAAATTAATTATTTATAGGAGATAAGTATTATGATCAGTAAATATACAGATATGCATTACTGACCACCTCCGAACACAAGGACGGCTAAAAATAGCCACAGGCGGTCACTGTCAAGGTCGCTTTCCCTTTCTCGTCACTGGCAAATGGGGGGGGGGGGTGATGATAGCAGCTGTGTTTATTACCGGGGTATATTGTTCTTTTACGGTATGTTAGACTGGTTTATAATACATTTTTATTATTTTAATATACCGGTAATCTTCATTTTAATCCAGCTTCCCAAATGTAAGTTTCAGTATAAAATAATTAGTGGTAGGACCTTGTGAGTGGTTTACCATGTTTCCATCACCACTCTTGACACGCTAAACCGCAAAATTTAAGAGGTAAGAATTTTATCTCTGGTGCTTAAGACGACCCCCTAACTTTGGGCTGATTTTTTTTTCTTCAAATTCCGTCTTGTAGGCCGAGATATACGGTAGTGGATGTCATCATTATGACCTGACCTCCTGTTTTTAAGGTCACCCTGTATATTTAAGCCTCTCTCTGTCCATGTAATCCAGTTGCCTCTGAAGATGTCTTGAATAAAGACGAAAGCTAAGGTACTCCGTTGTTTCCATTTTCCCGTGTGATTTTATCAAGATTTATCTTATCCACGTTTTCATTGTGGATTTAGATGAAATAAATATATATATATATATATATATATATATATATATATATATATATATATATATATATATATATATATATATATATATATATATATATATATATATATATATATATATATATATATATATTTATTTTTATTTTTTTTTAAGTGGAACACAGTTTTATGAAATACAGAGAGTAGTAAAAAATTAATTAATAAATGCTAAAGCAATTTTTCATAATGTAAGAAAAAAATCATATATCCCGTAGTTAAAATATTAGTTCAGTACTGTACCGGTATACAGCGAGTTCTGCTATAACGCGTGTTTTGACAACGCGAATTGGCTCTAACACGATTTATGAATAGAGGAACGATATTTGTATAACGCGAACGCTTGTTTGCTGTAACGCGATTTTTGCTAACTATTCCTCCAATTTTGTGGTATTAACTGTGAATATGGTAAAGAAGAATATCTCCAAGAAGCGTTCTGGTGATCGCATTCCTGGTGATGATCGTAAAAGAAAGGCTATAACCCTTGAAGAGAAGCTCGATGTTATCAACCTCAAAATCACCCTTCTCCCCCATCAGGTTATATTCATATTTTTTCAAGGTAAAGTGTTACATTTACTGTATGATTTCATTATTAGATATGAATGTAACATTTATTTAGACTGTGCTATCCTTTGTGTTAGGCTAACTAGTAAATTTTTTTCGATTTCGAGTAGTAATCTGCACCTAACCCTATTTTCTCCATAAGCCCTGTTATTTCTATTACACGAATTTCTATAACACGATGTTTTACAAGAACACAACTATCGCGTTATAGCAGAACTGACTGTACATGTATTTAAATTTTATGTAATACAGTACTGTAGTAAGTAGTAAAATCCCCTCCTTCCCTCCTATTTTTAAATTTATGGCATTCCAAACCCCCGTCTCCCCCATTAGTTTGAAATAAAGGGATTATACTCATATTTACAAATATGATCCCATTACAGTATAGTCATAATAAAAATTCAGATCAACTTACGAACTTTCCCAGGTACAATACTGTACTAATGAATACTGTACTGTACTTTGTTCAGCATTATGACTCCACATATTATTTACGGGCTATAATTTGTTATGATTTTATAAGTACCGGTAGGGATGGGTTTTATTTATATTTTATTGTGAATTTTTTATTTATTGGGAGAAGGGGGGGGAATTAGCCCACCAGGGCACAGGTCAATGACCCACATCAGGGCCTGGGGGCGAAAATATAATAATAATAAAAAATGAGAAAAAATAAAAATGTGTATGATATACTGTACAGTAATACTGATTATAATGATGATATAATAAATGACAATAGAAAAAAGAAAGGAAAAAAAGTTCAAGAGTGAGAAACAATATATGTATGCTGTGTTGTCAAAGTAAGAGAAACAATTGAGACCCTGCAATTGTGTGTAAATGAGGCAGAAAGTCAGTTCAGCAACCTGGGACTTGGTCACAATTTTTGTGGTGCCATATGGCAGCAGAGTCTACCATTAGACAATACTTATGCTGCCAATATCTTCCCAGGTGGTAGTACCTCCATGTTTGGTAGCTGCCTACTACCCATGGTTCTGGGTTCCCAATAAATTTATTTATGAACATGATCTAGGAATGTAACTTGGAATACTGTACTGTACTGTATGTCTTTCCATAGTGTTTGCTGTTTTTATTATTATCATCTTGTATTCCACCTGCATCCCCGCAGAAGATGAAGTATTTTCATCATCCAAGAGGTTGTCCACTTGTAACACAGGAAGCAACATCAATAATCAAAGCCCTCTTGAAACACCCCCAAGGAGGGGCAGAGCTGCATCTCGGGTAATTATCCAAATTGTTACAGGAATAATTGTACTGTAATGATTTTTTTGTTTGTTCTGTTTAGCCATTTCCTGTTGCTGAATACACTGGTCTTGAAAGTATTCTCTGTTAACATCCCTCCTATGAAGTTTTTGTATGTGGAACAATTATTCAAGTGCTTTGTATTTTGTTCCTTCATATTTTTCTCCTCGCTGCAATTTGTATCTCATTAGTAAGGAAGAAATGATAAATAGTTTCTTATTAGTAATCATGTTGGGTACATAATACTGTACACTTGACGCATGTTAGCAATGTAAATTTGTGATAAATTTCAAAGAATAATACTGTATTTTCTATAGCCATAACTTGGATTATTTTACTATTTCTGACAGCTCGCTCACGAGAAAATGAAAAGGGTACCTATGACAACAAAAAAGACAAGAGGAACATGTCAGGTTATTTTCAAGGGAGACTCCTTTGAAAGCAGCTCCAGGTATTTATGGACCATTGACACCTTACTTGCCATTTTATAATAACTCAAGTGAATGTTTTATAGGAACTCCATTGGTGTGGCCATGTGGGTGAGAGTAGATGTGGGGTTAAAGTTGTTTGATTAGCTTAGATCAGAGGGCAGACAGAGCCTAAATTGAATATGCAAAATGCCTAGGCAACATTTTCAGTGGTAGCTGTTTTAAGCAAAGTAATTGTCTCAGGTATATGAACTCTAAAGTGACAGATCTTGTAACTACCATATCCATATTAACGTACTGTGGTAAACTTGTGGAATTTGGCCAACCATGTGATGTTAAAATACTTCAGAAAATATATATTTATGTACCTGTAGTCTATGTAATTTACTGATTTATGCCTTTTTTTCAGTTATAAAGAAGAAGTAAAAGGAGCAGACTCTGGTCATGGGGAAAATTGTGAGTCTCATTTTGAAGAGATGGAATATGAATCAACTGTTGATCCTTGTAAATCAGCTGTTAATCCTTTAGCACTAGACACACCAAGTAAGAAGAATGATGGTGTAAAATGTCTAAGTGTTAAAGTCAGTCTTGAAAGATTATCTCATTTACACACATCTCAAGAAGTAGATAGTTCAAAAGATACAACACAAGTTACTGTTACAAATGCATATCAGGAGGAAGGTGTAGGTTGTATTAGTGAAACAACTTGTTCATACTCTAACCTCAGGTTAGAAGACAGCGACGATAACAAAAGCACCAGAATAAAGGAACTGGATGTTCAGAGATCAGGGAATGAGATGTGTAAAGGCAAAGAAAAAGAAGAGCCTTTATCTCCCAATAATTGTACTGAAAATGCATGTACAAAATGTGAGAATTATGACGAGTGTAATTCTCAATCCAGAACCCCTGAAGAAGTTAGGATTTTGCCAGAGCAAACAGAAAAACTTGTTACAACCAATACCAAGTGGTCGAACCACTCGAACAAAACAAAAGAAATTGCAGTTATCAACACGAGGAGATATAACAGATAATATGGTAAGCACAGCAGATCAGCCTCATCCCATTCCCAAACCAAGATTAACTCGTACAAAGCAAAAGGAGGTCTTACCATTGCTCAATACAATTGATGAATCAGAAGGTCAGTTGTTACCACCCATGGACTTTCCAAAACCAAGAATGACTCGCACAAAGACTAAGGCAAAAGAACAGACTAACAAATTTGAAAATGTGGAATATGATTCACAGTCTTCAGTAGAGGAGGGGTATAATACCCATGAGAAAGCTGTTGCACAGCCATCTGAGGAAATCCCAATGTCTCGTTCTACTCGTACAAAGAAAAAGGTGATAGAGGTAATTTCCTTAACTGACACTCCAGTCAAGAATGACATTAATAAATCGGTAGACAATGAATCACAAAAACCAAGGACAACAAGAACAAAGAAACGAATGTTTGACGAGTTAGGTGTAGATCAGCCTACTAGATCTACAAGGACAAAGTGTAAGAAAATGGAAGAACAACCTGAAAAAGAATCTGTGGCTTCAGAAAAACTTGGTCTATGTTTATTTCTTACTGAATCTGAAGATGAGAAAGACGGCAAATCATCTCAGGTTGTACAGAAATCACCACTTGTTAGGTCTGTTCCATCAGTAACATCTATGAAGCCATCACAATCAGCGACCTCCTATACCTCTGAGAATACTGTAATGGCTGCTACATCTACTCAGAACACAGAAATTGGGCCGGTTCGCCGGATAATCGATCTAAGGTGCGCCAGTTGCCAGCTTTATTATTAAGCCCTTGTCCATCGTCGTCAATTGTCCAAGTTGTAACTCCAGGTAGTCCAGTACACACTAGTTTTAAGCGTGCTTGCTGTACACCAAATTCAGACAAGGACTCTCCAATGTCTTCTACTGTACGCCAGAAGGGGACACGCGCGATGACCCCTGTAAAACATTCTCCACGAACATTTGCTGGGTGAGTGATGCTCTTGAGGTGTAATAGGTGGAGAATAGTAATATACAGTATAAT